CCGTAGATAACTCCTCCTCAAGTTACTTGGACGATGTTTGTTGGCACCAGTTTTATAATGTATGTTGTCTCTTCTCTGCGCAAAGATTGGCTGCAATTGCGACCAGCAGCTGCAACTTCTTTTTCTCTGTGTCAACCAGAGTTTTGTTACACAATGGGGCTGGGATAACAGTTTTCCTCCTGATCAGAAGGAGCAAGAGATTACACTCAAACCATTTTAGGGGAAACTACTTCATTAGCATGGGTATCTCATTGGCATACCTTTATGGTAACTCAACCTTGACGATCAGCTGTACACGTATGCCGACTAGGGAAGCTTCGCCGGTAGAGTAACTGTTGCCCTCAAATACTTCGCTTGTATACTGACGAAGAGTTGAAATTACCTTGTTTACGTAAAGAACTTCTATTGTGGGTATTTTTATGCTTGAGTTGTAGTTATTTATACTATTACCATCATTGTTGTCGACAATACTTTATATTTTCTGTTCTAATTGATTATATTTGCAGTTTGTCTGATGTTGACTGCGTCAGGTTAGGTCAAATCACAGGACTAGCAGTTGGTGCCAACGAGGGTCCAGGCTTTTATACTGTCGAGCTCCGATGTTCCCCAATGCTTCTGGACTTCTAGTTCCCAGAAAGGGATTTCTCCTCAGTAGGATCAAGTATGCTTTATTCGGGATCAATACAACCTAGTGTCTAGAATAGACTTATATGAACAGGAAATAGCTTCACCCAAGTCTAATTGCGAATGGAAGAGACAGAGATAGTCCTTTAACATGATAAATAAAAGCCAAATGGCACACCTACTGTTGCCTATCAGGTGATTCTCAGAGAAGATACAAATGATTTGTAGTTTTCGAGTTCCGCGGAGAGTCATGGTCACCCCCGACTGCTATAATTGTTCCTTGGCCTTACGTTTGCTCCTTGGCGTGCACAAGTCCTCTATCTCAGTATACCTTCAGTTACTCCAACATCCGTCAAATCCTTCCTTTGTCTCACAGCTTTATAAGAATTTAACGGTGCCTCATCATCACTCACGGATTGGGAATGTAAGTTAAAGAATCCATAAGCGTGAATACACGGATGGCGCGATTCAAGCACTTTTCTATAACTCATGAATACATACTTCTATACCTACATTCCGAAAATTCTGTTATAATCCTATAGAGGCGTACATATATACACGCATACATACATGCATACATTCAGACACACAGACAGACCCGTGCGTGCACATATGCATACGTGCATGCACATGCACTGGTCCATACGAAAGTAAACCCACACGGACATACATGCACCCAACCCACCCCCACGCTTATGCACATTTGAATTACACTCCCATGAGGTCCTTTCATCTTTCTACTTTTTTATTTTTATTAGTTCATTTGTTTATTTACCTTTTCATAGATATATATATACATATTTAATACCAATCTTCACAGATACCGCGCCAAAATAACCATGAGTGAACCAAAAAATATAGGTACAAAAACGGGGAAAATAAAACAGTCAACTTCGGGGAGTAATAATTTTTTGGTTGTTCACTGCCCGCCATTTGGAGTTCCTTTTTGTATGGTTTTGCATTATTGTCACTAAAAGATGTAATTTGTAGTGTTCTATTTAACACCTAAACCTTAGGAACTCTCATCTACCCTACGCCATCTGTGCTCCAAGCGACGTATCTTTCAAACTGAGACCTGATGAAGCCCTACATTCCAACATAAATGAATCTGCGTGCAACAGTGGAATAAGCCCTTATCATGTGATATTTTTACACGTAAAATTGTTTGCAATGCTGTCTTTTAAACATAGCAAGATCCTATTGGACCAGAAAAGCATAATCTTTTGAGTTATTCCCATAATAAAACTTTGGCTTTGGCTTTGCTAGTCAGAGACTACACAAAGCAGGCACCAATCCTGCCCATATACGAATCTGGAAACGTCCAAGTGATGGTGCGTAAGATCTTTAATAATACTGACCCTGCTATAATGTGCCGTTGTCCTCCCAAGACGCCTCCCAAAAACATCAAAAAGATCAAAAAAACTCCAGAACCTAATGGAGACTTCCCTACGTCCCAGGGATACGATGAGAAACTGAAACCACTGAGGGTCCAGGTTATTAGAATTGCTGCAAGAAAGCTGGTTTCACCAGCACGTCATGTGGTTAACTAGATTTAGAGAAGAGTAAATCTCTCTCAGCCTAGACCCCTCAATCACACTGAGCTGAAACAAGGTTCAGAACGTTCATAAAAAGCGTCCGTTGGGAAAAGCGATCACGTATTAATTAAGTTCCATCTGACACTGTAGATTTCGGCCACGCAAAGTAGGTTAGCAATATTGTGTGGCAAAATTGTTCGGGGAGAGCCCAAGAACTGAACTGGGTATCCGATGGCGCAACTACCAAATGCAACGGCTATTCGCCAGAATAGATTATACAACCTAAGGACTGCCCGACGAGGACCGACTCCAGCACTTGAATCTCTTCTCTCAACACCCGAGATGATCTATATTGAGTTCAGTNNNCCCACGCATTTTCTTGCGAAACCCAGCCATATCACTCAGTATCTCTAACCATCGGTTACGATCATCCCGAGGTCCTCAATCAGGGAGCCTAACGGGATCTGTTTGACCCAGTCTCCTGGTTACGGTATTTATACCCTCATGCCAAGTCTTAGTTTGACCACCCTTGGCTTTTTTCCACCCACGAGCTACTTCAGCGAACATCGCTCGCCGTGGTAACCTATCTGGTAACATGCGTAACATATGTCCCAGCCAACGTAATCTATGGAGGCCGATCACTTCCTCCGGTGGGCGACCGCGGATACCCAAAACTCTACGCCTAACCTCAGCATTGCTCATCCGGTTACCCAACCAGATTTGTGCAATGCTGCGTAGACAGCCGTGTTCAAACACCGACAGTCTGTCTTCGTCCTGTTTTCTTAATGGTCAAGTTTCTGCACCGTAGAGCATGACTGGCCAAACTATCGCGGCATACACTCGACCCTTCACAGACAGCCGGATGTCGCGACGGCGTCACAGATGTCTCAAGTTGGCCAATGCCAACCGAGCCTTCTGTATGCAAGCAAACACTTCATCCGTGATGCATCCACCGGGTGAGATGTAGGTGCTCAAATATTGAACGTGCATATCTACAGATGTAACTAATCGTCACTTGCTCCTAGTAAACACTTCCCCCCTCCTCTTATTGTTCTTCACAGTGTTGAGCCGTGACCTGTCGGTTAACTCGTTTTACTCAGCGTGGCGTTCTCTGGCAGTCAACTGAGCATCCCCTGAGTGACCATCTCGACCTGAGTGCACTCAGGGTATACCCAGGCTTCAGTTCAGTTATCACTGGGCGATTTGTATCACTTACCGATTAGGCGTCCACATTTGTGTTTCCTGATAAATTCATTGGCTTCCAAAACTTTGATATGCAAATATTTTTAACTTTTCTGCTTTACGAAGCCATTCTGCTTTCCATGTATACAAACCATGAGGCTTGTATATATGAATTGTGATGCTCGTCCTGCAGTCATTTGATAATTTTCCCGTTTTAATAAATGTACTGGCGCTAGGTGTCTCGGCACAGATCTTCTATACTAATAATTGTTACCTGAATTCTGTTAACAGAATTCCTAATTCGGAATTGCCCAATAAGACTTAAATTTTCCAGTATCAGCTCAGGTGGCATTAGGGTGTACTCAAACAACATTCAATAACCAATTTCCAGTATAACACTTTCAAATCTTCAATTTCTCTCCCCGAGAAAATTTTCAACTGTTACAACCAATGAATGGCGCGTCTTAAAATGACGCAGCTACCTTCTCTATGGCATTGACCTAGAAACTCAAGGTCAGGTTAGGTCAAATTCAAATTACAAGACGTGGAGAGACCTTCGCTTGTTTTGTGTCCTGGCAAAGGCGGGTTCCGTCTGTGGACCGACTCCCCTGCGAGTATAAAGCTTCGGTAGACCTGATCGACAGTCACCCCCCTTCAACTTTTTATTTCGTTCAATTTTTAATTAAATTTTACATAGAAAATTTACTTGTTAAATATACAACTTAAAAATGTATAATATGCATGGGTCAACATTATATTTATTTACCCCAATTTGTTTATATGTTCAATCACTTTTGTGCGCTAAAGATGTCACACCCGTCGTGGATGAGGTCCTTTTTATCACAAATTGAAGAAGGCTCTTGTGTTGAATACCTGCAAGACCGGAAACTGCTAGCAAAAAAGCGTGACTGTGTCTGCGGTCACGCTATGACCCTACAGGAATCGGCCAAGGCACTCGATGGATTTGTTTTTCGCTGCTGTCGCTGCAAGAAAACCGTTTCAATAAGAAAGGGCTCGTTCTTCGAGAATTCAAAGATATCTTTGTGTCTGCTCGTGGAATTAATAGCATACTTTTTATGCGATATTCCTGTTGTGCTCGCCAGTAGCATGTGTCGATTGTCCGAAAGGGCAGCGATACAATGGTACGTGTTCTGTCGCGAGATATGTTCCCACAAGCTGCTTACCCTCAACCAACAGCTCGGTGGTCCGTCCAAAATTGTCGAAATCGACGAAACTGTGGTTAACAAATGTAAATATGGACGAGGAAGACCATCGGAAACTGTTTGGG